GGGGGGGCCTCCGAAATTCACGCCATACAACCGATCGGCGGCTATAGAGCCGCCGATCGGTTGTATGTGAAACAGCCGTTAACGGCTGTAGTAACAAGCGGGTCTTTCCTGCAGGAAAAAAATGCCGTCTGGCGACGGCAACCCGCAGATAGGAGTCAGCCGTCCGTTTTTTCTTAACGGGCGGACGTCAAGAGGTTAATAGAGCCTATCACCAATTATAACACTGCGTCATAGCAGACAACTTTGATAAGCTTGCATGTACTTTCTGCAAAAATAAAAAATGTCTCAATGGTCGCCCAAACCAAGATACCCACTAAATGTTAACCAAGCCTTGCAGATGCAATCAAAAGGTTAAATACACCCATTGCCTCCCATTATGCAAAGTACAATGGGCTGCAAGGGGTCAGGCCAACCAGTATAAGCTTACACCTTTCATTGTGGAAGGAGTTTTATGTAGTCACAGTAGAGGATCTAGAACAGGGGTAGCTAAGCTCCGGCCCTCCAGCTGTGGTGGAACTACAAACCCCATGAGGCACTGCGAGATTCTCACAGCCGCAGACATGACTCCTGAGAGAGATGCATCATGGGATTTGTAGTTCCACCACAGCTGGAGGGCCAGAGTTTGGCTACTCCTGATCTAGAAGATCTTAACCACTAGGTTATAACACCAGCTGCAGGAGTAGAACACTAGGCACAATAACTAAAACACATCCTACAGGTGACCCCTGCTAGTGGCCAAAAACTCTTTTCTATCAGAGGTATGTCAGTTTTTTTACTAGTGTCATGGAGTAAGGACCTTAGCTCTCTGCTGGGGTCCCCTAGTCCCCTTACGATTTTCCAGGGACAGATTTTTTCCTTTTTTGTTTTCCTTTTCTTAAAAACGTCAGGATCTTTTTATCAACCGATGACTTGGTGACAGGCTTGAATTCTCCCCAGATCAGCCTTCGAGTTCATTCATTTCCCTACCTTGTGGGTGGGTTTAGCTGCGACAGCCCTGTTTTGGATCAGCTGGGTAGCCTATAAGATATCTCCCAGGGAAACGTAGATAACTGTCTAACTTCAGCTGATCTGACACCATGTTCCCCAGGCAGACAGCACCCCCACTTCTGCAAGAGGTGGCCTGTCATGGGAAAGGTACCCCTCTACATCTTCAAGATGTATAACCTCCTCTCCTATCTCTCTCACCTGTGTGGCTAAGAGTGGTTTATAGGAACCTCTTTTCCCCATTTTTTTAGTAAGTATAAAAGAATTGGGACCATCACGCATAACTACATTTATCCATTACGAATATATTAATCAGGCCATGTAAAATGCATGAAAATTAAAAATTCATGTAAATGGAATAAATACCCTGGAAAAAAGATCCATCATTTTTACCAAACAAAAAAGGCTAATCTGCTTTATAGAAGAAACTCATTTTTAAAACTGCCAGGACCCCTAGCTTTCAAAACTGACATTTCCCAACTGCTTATCATGGACGATCTACTAACTAAATTCAGTGGTGTCTGTATCCTAATCCACAACGGGACACCTTTGCAACTCATGGAGACTTGGACCCACCCAGGGGGCAGAGCGCTGTTCGCGAAGGGAAAACTGGGGCAGCAGATCTGTATGTTCACCAGCCTATACCAAACACTAATCGGGTTACCTCTGTAGAGTCTTCACAACTTTGCAGAAAGCTCAGTGATCATTGGCAGAGACCTCAAATTACCACTTGATCCTATATAATCCACCCACCTGTCTTGCAGTGCTTTAGAATTAAGAAATGCTTACAACACTTAATTAGTTGAAGTTTGGTTCATTCTACATCCTACCACCACAGAGTATACATATTCTCATATCCACCAATCCTGTTCTTGCATTGACCTTTTCCTGGTCAAACTACATGATCTACCTCACATACAAGATGCCTCTATGGGTGTAGTTTCAATATCTGACCATGTATCTGCTCTCTTGGATATTGACCTGACTCATCTCCTAGACAGGCCATGATAGTGGCATCTTAACGACACACTCCCACAAGATGCCCTCATACTGTCAGACATACAAAAGCAGCCAAATGACTACTTCATGTTTAATGATACCCCAACATGTGACCCTTTGTTTGTATGGGAGGCACACAAGGCATAATTACATCTGTGTGGTCTTTATTAAACATAGCTCCAGGGTTTCAAGGGCGAGAAATAAACACTTCATTAATGGACATACATAAGCTGGAATCTGCCCGTACAAAATTCCTTGCACTTCCAACACCAACAGCTCACTAGCCTCAGAGGCTATCTTAAACCTATGTGTGTGTTCAGGGCTAAGGCAATGCTCACAAAATGTATTGTAGACAAACATTCCATGAATATGGTGAATACCTGCACTTAGCACTCAACCCAATAAGAACTGGCATATATACCAGAGATCCGTACCAGCCAGGAAGGTAGAATGACCTCCACCACATTGCTGTAACATTTCAACATTACTCTGCTTTATAAATTCTTATAATGCATACCTGAGCACCTCAAAACTCCCTGGCTGATAGGGTAAATAAATACCTAGAAGATTCTGGCCTGCCCCACATTCTAACCGTGACCATTACAGCTCTTGAAACACCAATAACTGCAAAATACTTTCTCCTGGCCTTAAACTCAATCTGGGAAGACTCCTTTGTCCTGGCAGTTGGGTCCACAAGCTAATACTTTTGTTTCCTTTAATATCCTCCTATCTCTGTTGGGTCTCTGAGCCCTATGGGTGGCTGTGGAGGGGTTACTTTAACAGGAATGATCATTCTGATTCCATCTTTTGACAGGTTCAAAGTTTTTCCTTTATGCAAACCTGTTCACTATGCCCTAGAAGGACAGAATTCCTCCAATTCTGGACCTCTGGGTACTCAAAGTCTTTGTGAAATTTGAAAGTTTAAGATGGAGTCGATTTGTATGGTGGTGTCATAGAGGCATTCTCCTAAACATTAAGTGGATCGCCCCACCTTGGCGGGTAAATTAAGGAGTCTTTTGCATGATCTTTCAGCCTCTGCCTCTGTTTCTAAATCCTCACTGTGCCCATCTGGGGTGCCAGCATCCTCCTGTAATACAGTGAAAGTTTATCACCCCATTTATGGAGGGATTTAAATCAACTTAGCTGTTCCCTAAGTCATTTTGCAGGGCTTGCTACTTCTCCCTCCCTGAAGTCTCTGACTGATTTGGCAACTGCACTTAAATCTGTGCAACCACAAGTGGAGTTACAGTTGTCAGATTCTGAAGCTTGTCCATCTTTGGGTGAAGGGACCCCTCCTGTGGATCCTCAGGAACTGAGGTTTTCTCCTAAGCAGAGGGAGAACGTTGCATTGCTTATTGAGGCAGTCTGCAATACCTTAAGCTGGATGAAACAGCAGCTACTCCTAACATGGTGTTCAGTCTGGGCTCTTACAGACAGTTTTTCCTCATCATGCATTATTTGATGATTACACCTATAAGGATTTCAAGAACCTGGATAAGTCATTCCCAATTCCTAAATGGTTTTCAGGTTTGTACCCAGTGGCAGAGAAGTTAATTAGGAAATGATCCATACCTCCTACCAGGGACTGA